AGTCCCATAGTAACCGATGACCAAGAATTGGTTCATACGCCATTTGTTCCCTAAGGATACTGGAGCCCATGTGCATCATTGGTTTGGAATCAGGGTTTTCCAACTCCCCTAGGTGGATTCTCCATGTCCACCAACCCGGTTAAAGCGTCGGACATTCGCTTTTCGTCCTCTCAATTTCGTGAACAACACATCCGCCACGAGAAGGCAGTGAGTAGGACTCCCGTGGCAGAAGCTATATACTCGTGGCCATGTGAGAGCATTTCGAGAGGGAGAGATAACTGATTAAAGAATTTGACTTTAAACGGTCAGATTACAAGTTGCAAGACTTTTCTCACCTACTTTATCTTGAGTAGCCTAGTAAAATAATTAGCTCTTCTATTCAAGAAGTATAATTCAAGAATAATGACTCCATACACTTGTACTAGTTAAACGAGTTATTAATTAAGTAAAATGACCACATTAGTTTTACTTTATAGTGAAAATGTAATTTCAATAAGGAAATACAAACAATAATAAATTTTTGTCTTTATTGAAATAATAATAAGAATTTATACACTTGTCATTTGGTAAAATTTCTTTTATCCCTAAGCAATTTCTTATTATTAACTATTTATAGTTCACAGGTGCATACAGCTTGTAAAAATCTCAATCTAGGACAAACCTTCCCTATATATATATATATATATATATATATATATATATATATATATATATATATCATAGCAATCTGTTGATGAGAAATTACTGAATAGTTCAAATTGAATTCACCCTTCAATGTAGTATTCTCTCCAAGCAATCATATTTTCCTAATAAACTGAACAGTTAACATATATTACCAAATCAATATTTTAAAAAGTTATTCCAATTATAAATACATATGGATACTATCTCATAGATAGTGATGAAAACATACTAAAATAATCAAATGTTAAGCATTATCTTATCATTCATATCACATGATATGCGCATTAGTTTAAAATGGTACTGTTAGATGAAAGTGAAAATAATGATAATGGATTTAATTATTACTCAGAATTAATTCAAATCATAAGCATTATCAGCATCATTACTGTTATTATTGAAGTATTCGTCCTCTTTAAAGGATTTGTTTATCAAGTTACAGTTTAATCGGTAAGGATATTACCATGTTGTCAGTTACTCAGTTTTATAGCATATCCGATGGCAAAAAATTTTTGGTATAAATTCCAAAGTTTAGTAAACAGATTATATTTCTCTGGTATCTAAACCAATTTCATAAGATTTAGAATAATAAAATCTGCTTTATATGTCATCAATTGATAAAACCCTTCACAGATCTACGAAATGCGACATGATCAATTAGTCAACAAGTATTAAAATTCCCTATGATTTTAAGTTCAAGTTTAGCCAACTAAACCTTACCATAACATAAACTTACTGCACTGATACCTTTTCCATACGTACATTTGTCTGATTATTTCCCGCTTTTTGAAAGATGTGGCTGCATATTCGATTTTACTGAGTGAACGAACAAAGATCACGCTGTCCCTTATAAATATTCATATCCCTACTATTTTTTTCTTATCTTGTTTAACTGTCCACTAGGTTTTGTTTCTACTATCGAGCTTTATTATCCTATAAATACGGCTGACATTATAATCACATAGATTAAACTTCTAGGGATGTAAATAACTAGTAACCAATAAACACTGCACCATTGTTTCCCAGATTCATACCCCCCCCCGGAATTTGTAAGTATATTGGCACACACGCTACTTCTATTAATGCGATATCGACTACTGAGGCCAGCCTAATGAAACTACACTGCACTACTTGCCAACTATCAGTAGTATGGAAACTAATGGGGAAATATCTCAGACAGCAGTGTCGCGTTGTGTTAATCGTTGACGTGGTTTAATGTCTTTCCTATTCACTTGACTAATCCTTTACAAAACCCAGGCGTGAAAATGCTCGAGGGGCTAAAATACGGTACTCACTAGTTAGTAAGAACTAAAAATAAATTAAATGAATGCTGAGGTACACCTGTATAGTTTAATGATTGTTTTTAATATAATGACTTAAACTTAGCAAAACCTGATCTCAGAATAAGTATATCGAATTACTAAAAATGAAAATCATATGTATAGTTCTAATTTATCGGAAACAGAAGCAACAGCGAAATTACCGTAAAAACCTGAAATTTAAGTTACTGCATCAAGGTCTATTCATCAATACAAGTTTTGACGCCGTATTCGAATAGAAGCTACAATTAAACACCTAAACAGAATTTAGAACGTAAACACACCTGGAAAGTTAAGTTCTCATAAATATGCATACTCACTAAATTACTACGAACATTAAGTAATGATTTCATTGCTTGAGTAAGATTTGTTCTGCCATGGAAATCTTTGCTCCATTCAGTCAATCTCTACGGTTACTATTTAAGCGATCAATTTCGTAAACCTACACTACATGAAGAATCCTCTTCGAACTAACTTGTAGGCAAGTATTTCACTCAGCCCTTATACGGGTCGACTAAAGTTCGGAGTAATGAGCAGTAAATTCAAGTTTGGTGGCTAAACGGTAAGATGCTACTCAATAAACACGGTCCTGGGTCCAACCCCATGTAGGGTTAAGAGCGAGCATACTTAGGTAGTCATATATTACAGATAATTTAATGATTTGGTCTTCTGTTGGTTCCAGTAATGGCAAAGACCATCCTTGAACTAGATTACTTTGAAATCTAACTTTCGTGACCAGGATCCCCAAGTGCATAAAATCAAGAATGGTATGCCCAGACGTTACACATTTTCGAACGTCAATGTTCCGAATAAATTTATAAATCACAGCAGTGAAGCCAAGATATTTTTGTGAAGGCATCTCAAACGATAACCGACTGAGTGCCTTCAAGGTAAAGAACGCTTCTTATATTGAATTCCTCTATAAACAATATTAAATTGTTATATACATATATATACATGCTTCAAAAATCCAAGTGCTGATAGTTCGAATGAATAAAAGAGCACCACGTGCTGGGAAATTCCCACAGCAGTCGATTGATCTAATTCTAATATTCTAATCAAGAAAATACCACTAGACGTTAGCTAAGTGTCTGAAAAGTATTGTTCTTGATTCCTTTAATTTGCAGCAGTAAAATATCTTTAAAAACCCCTATAAACCTTGTCTTTTAGTGGTCTCCATGTTTTGTGATGTAATGAAATTAGTGAAAGCTATTCAGAAACTGGATATGTAATAACTTACCAAGTGTCCAATTCATGACAAACAGGAAATAATCAAGTATGAACGAGTAAATGTACCATTTAAATATGGTTTAAGATAGAATGAACTTAATATACATAAAGCTCATGTTAATAAAGACAATGGGGCCAGGACACTTAATAAAGTAAAGCGCCTATAGTTTCCACGAGGTGTAACAAAATCTAATATTGAACAAAACAGACAACTGTCAGTACAACACGACTAGGTACCGACCACCTACCTACATACTAAGGAACGTCATGCCCCCCAAATGCCCTGGTATGGTCGAGAGCGGAGTGGATTGACCCTCCCTCTCGAAATACTCTCACATGACCACGCGTATACACCTCTGTCAGGGAAGTCCTACTCACTGCCTTCACGTGACGGATATGTTGTTAACGAAAATGAGAGAACGAGAAGCGAATGTCCAGTGCTTTAACCGGATCCCAAATCAATGATGCACATGGGCTTCAATATCCCGCGGGAACAAATGGCGTATGAACCAATTTCTCGATCACCGGCTTCCATGGGACTGCATCTCCTCACGATGCTCCACTGCCTTGTGGATTAGACCTTTAGGTCGGAGCTCTGGGTGCGACCCCCTAAGAAAACCACCTGCCTTATATCCGGGGAGTAACTCAGCCTACACACAAATATAATGAAAATGATGTTCACTGAAAACTCTATTCTCGCTTCGATTTACAGTCAAACAATTCACATTATTATTAGTATTTACCACGTCATTTATTCACTCTTTCATTCCCACTCTGTCTAGACTTATTTTTCGACTTATACAGCAGCTCGCCTATGATGGAAATTCAGCTTTATCTAAACGTACTCGAGTCACTGCCTGGTTTGAAAATTGTATGTTACCACCGAATACGGGTACTGAAGCAGTTTTTCTGAAACCACATGCACCATTCAGACTGGCTGCCTTCAACGTTCGCACACTTATGCAGGTCAGACAACAGATAGGGCTGGCTATGTCTTTGGAAATTCCTAATATCGACGTTTGTTGTCTATCCGAGACCCGTATTCAAGACTCTGGTGAAGTACTACAAGTTCGCTCCCCATCTGTCGCCTCAAAAAGCTTGTTTTACATGCGTTTATCCGGGGGCCCTGTGGCATCTTCGTCTGGTCTTGCTGGCGTTGGTGTCGCACTAAGCGCAAGAGCTGAGGCAGCACTAGTCGACTGGATTCCCATTAACATTCGGTTATGTGCTGTTAGATTAGAAAGTTCCATCAAAGTGAGAAGAAATCGGCGTGAGAAACGATGTCTTTTCGTCATCTCCGCCTATGCCCCGACGGATTGCAGCCCGGATGCAACCAAGGATGAACCCTACCACCAGTTATCTGTTCTTCTTCAGAAAGTGCGTCCGACAGATACTGTAGTACTAGCCGGAGACTTGAATGCTCAGGACTGGCTTGTGTTGGTCCTTCACGACTCCCTGGATGGGGTCCGAGAAATGGTGTAACACAGTGGTTAGAGACGTTATCAGATATGGCTCAGAATAGAAGCCAGTGGCGATCCTGCTGTAACCTTCTTTTACTTTCTTCGTAAAAAGCGGTTGCTTTTTCCTTAACTGAAAGATTTCTTTTGATTGTATCTTTTCGTTTCCCCCATTATTATTACTATTACACTACCTTACCCCAATCTAGTCGTTACTGTTCTCTTGTTTTTTTCTTATTCCTTACACTCCTTACCTTTATTCCCTTCTCTTTAAATTCTCATTGTTTTGTGTGGCGCGTATATATTTGGTGTCCCCTTATACCAGCATTTATTTGTTCAAATAAAATAAAACAATAAAAGGAACGTTAAATCGTATTTCAAAGCATTTTACTAACTTCGGGAATATTACTCATATAACTGCTTCTCGAAATGATAAAATTGGTATATTCTACATCGTTTATCTTTAAGATAGCTAATTAACGAAACGGTAAGAGTAATACCCTTAATCTGGAAAGGAATTATGAAAACAAGGCCGGAACATAAACTTGTGATCTATAAAACAATCCTTTATTGGATAGCAATAAATGCCTCTATTAAGATTAAAACGATGGAAAAACGGGAGATTAAAGAAAACATGTACAAAATCTCCGTATTCGGCTAAGAGAAGTATAAGGAATGCAAAACAAATGTTAGTGCAATAATATAGAACTAAATTTCATATTTTCCAGTACAAATATCCTTGCCTCTAATTTGTGATCTTTGATCAGAAACAGGTTGAAAGTATATCGTATCTTCTAATGCTAAACGCTCTTTAATTCGCCTCCCAATTCTTACGATAGTTTCTTCTTCATTGTCACTAGTCAGCCAAACTGAAAGCTTGCTACCCCGAGCACGTGGTTGGAACACTGCTCCACATATCTGTTTATCCTCTTCATCCGTATCCCAGTCGGAACCGATTAGAAGCATCAACAATTCATCCCATAAGCTGCAATGGAAGATATAAACATTCTATGCAAAAATTGTCAGAATTTAAGCGAAAAGATAAGTTTCTTTGAAAACAAAACTGTAAAATGCACCAACAATGGGAATTAACAACGCCATCTGACAAATCTGGGATAGTAAAGCAACAGGACTAGAGAGCATACCGGCCGAGGTATTGAAGCCATACATCGTGGCGGCTCCAAAGATAACCCACGTTCTTTTCAGATAGATTTGAAAGGAAAAACAAGTGCCAACAGACAGACAAGAAAGATACCTCTTCAAGATACCAATGAAAGACATGAGTGAGTATGAAAACTAGAAAGGCATTACACTTGTTTATATCAGGCAGTTTTCAAGTGTCCGGCATCCAACAATGGTGGTCTTCCTTGACTTAAAAGCAGCATTTGACTCTGTAAACCGACAGGTTCTGTGGCAGTGTGTCATTGAAAGGTGTACCTCAGAAGTACATAAACCTTATGAAGGCTCTTTACTCGAACACTACTAGTCGAGTCAGAGCTTATGGCGAACTGTCATCTGCTTTCGCAACCTCAAGTGGCGTCCGCCAAGGCTGTCCACTTTCTCCATTTTTGTTCAACTTCATCATAGATCTACTGATGGAAATAACGCTCTTATCGACTGAATTCTCGGGTATTGATCTCCTACCAGGAGGTCCACTTATTAACTTAGAATACGCAGATGACATAGTCCTGTTTGGTGAAGACGCTGATGAAATGCAGAGTCTTTGGTAGCACTGAGCAACAATGCTTGGATGTTTGGGATGCGCTTCTCTCCCTCTAAATGCAAGTTGTTGCTTCAGGACTGATCTGCGTCAACACCTGAACTAAGGATAGGGAGTGAAGTAGTCGAACGCGTTGACAACTTCACTTATCTTGGAAGTCTGATCAGCCCTAATGGGTTGGTGTCTGACGAAATCTCAGCAAGGATTTGGAAAGCTCGTTTGGCTTTTGCCAACTTACGTCATCTATGGCGAAGGCAAGATATCCGTCTATCAATTAAGGGTCGAGTATACTGCGCGGCAGTTCGTTTCGTCCTACTATACGGCTGCGAAACATGGCCATTAAGAGTTGAAGATATCCGTAAGTTACTAGTATTTGACCACAGGTGCCTTAGAAATATTGCTCGCACCTGCTGGAATCACCAGGTAAGTAATAGTGAGGTTAGACGTAGGGTATTAGGGAATGATGGTAAATCAGTTGATGAGGTTATGAATCTTCATCGACTGAGATGGTTAGGCCACGTGCTGTGTATGCCAAAACACCGATTACCACGACGCGCAATGCTAATCGGTGTTAGGGATGATTGAAAGTTAGGGGCGGCCAAACCAAAACGTGGCATCAGTCCTTGAAGACACTAACTTCTAGTCTAAGCCATGTTGATAGATTCAGACTGCCTGGTTGGGGTCCGCGTGACTATCGTAACCAATGGTTGGAGACCCCGACCGTTGTTGGCTCAGAATCGATCACAATGGCGTCGGTGTATACACTCTGTCTTCCCTTAAACTAAGAGATTAAAATCGCTTGATGTCTTTCTACGAACTAATTCTTTCTTCATGTATTATATCCTTATATACAATCTTTCTTTTATATACTACCTTTGATGTGACTACTTCTATGAATCCGGTGTTCATCTTGTTGTGCTAATGCTGTATGGCAACTTGGACCGATGCACATAGGTGCCTGGTCCTACGTTGCAGCTGACTGGCTGAAGACTTGGTAATTTGACGAGTTTAATAACTTACAGATGTGTTCAAAATGTCTGCAATCGCGTTGCTTAATATGCATTTACCGACTCAAATTAATTTTTGTCGCACCAATTTTCGTGGAAAATATTGACTAGGTTTGTCTTAAGAAAAAACCAAGATTTCCGAAATGAACCGTACACGCAGTGATTGTCAATGTATTTATTTATTTTAACACATAGGTATTGGTACACGGAGGCACCAAATACATATGCGCCACACGAATCTCAATTGATTTGTGTGAGGGCTGTGATACTGCTCGGGTGCCCAAACCGAAATGATTACATAAAAACTTAGTGGCAAATAGCGAGATTGACGGCTAGGCAATATGCTATATTTCCGAGTATCACCGAAATATTCGACTTGAAATGATGTACGATTATGCTAACACTGTTGACTGACAAGGTAGGATGAGACTCGCTCTCTATTTATTTATTTATTTGAACACATAAATATTGGTACAGGGGGGCACCAAATATATATGCGCCACACAAAACAATGATAATTTGAAGAGAAGGAGAAAAGAGAAGAAAAAAAAAGTAATGAACGTGGGGAATTATAGATAAATAAAAAAAAGAGAGAGAGAACAATGATGGGGAAAACGGAAAGGTACAATCAGAAGAAATCTTTCAGTTAAGGAAGATACAAACACTTTTCATGAAGAAAGTAAAAGAAGGTTACAGCAGGATCGCCACTGGCTTCTATTCTGAGCCATATCTGATAACGTCTCTAGCCACTGCGTTACACCGTCTTTCGGACCCCAACTAGGGAGTCGTGAAGGACCAACAGAAGCTAGCCCTTTGCAGCTTTCTTTCATACCACGACACCATGTCATATACTGACCACCTCTCCGCTTTTTCCAACCGGTCCCAGAGTCGGCAAATAATGCACGATGAGGAATTCTCTGGGACGACATTCGTAGAACATGTCCAAGCCACCGAAGTCGGTGTTTGAAGATGGTGACACCAATTTCATTATCGTCTCTGTGACCGAACACTCGATGTCGAACCTCTGCATTACTAACATGGTGTTGCCACTGGATGTCAGCAATCCTTCGGAGACAGCGATGATCGAACACAGAGAGTCGTCTAACATCCTCAACTCGGAGAGGCCAGGTTTCAAAAGCATAGAGCAAAACTGCTCTCACCGTCGCGTTGTAGATCCGACCTTTTACAGCCAGACTAACATCACGAAGGCGCCAAAGGTGGCCCAGATTGGCATAAGCCGCTCTAGCTTTCACTAAACGTGCATTGATCTCATCACTCTCGCCACCACCAGCACTTATGCAGCTACCTAGATACACGAACTTCTCGACCACTTCTATCTGCTCACCATCCAGAGTGAGTACAGGATTAGAATCCTGCCAGTCTTGTAGAAGTACTTTGTACTTCGAGGGTGCAAAGCACATACCATACCTACGGACATTGATTGCCAACTGATTAAGTGCGGATTGCATGGCTTGGGCATTCTCGCACAGTAAGACAATATCATCCGCATATTCAAGGTTGAGAAGTCCTTCTCCAGGCAACAGATCCACACCACCATTACTTACATCCATCAGAGCTGTTCTCAAAATGTCATCGATGGCAAAGTTGAAGAGGAATGGTGAGATTGGGCAACCCTGCCTAACCCCACTGCTCGAATGGAATAATGGAGGAAGGTGGTTGTATGCCCTCATTCTGTTTGAGGTGTTTGTATATAGGGCTTTTAGTGTCTGAGAAAGCTTCTCAGGCACACCCTTCTTCAATAGACAATTCTAGAGAACAGTCCTGTCCAACGAATCGAAGGCAGCCCTGATATCAAGAAACACTACGATTGTTGGCCTTTGATAAGTATGGCGGTGTTCTAACACTTGGCGGAGGGTGAAGATATGATCAATACATCCTCGACCAGAACGAAACCCAGCCTGCTCCTCGCGAGTCAATCCTTCTCGGGTTTTAAACAACCTACGAAGTATGACGGAAGCCAATAGCTTGGACGCAATCGGAAGTAAACTTATCCCCCGATAGTTGTTACAGGAACAACGTGAACCCTTTTTAAAGATAGGGACAACTATCGACTCATTCCATGATGTTGGCACACTCTCTAGTTCCCAGATCTTTGTAAACAACGTCGTCAGTCCCTTAGTCAGAAAGTCACCACCATTTTTAAAAAGAGCCGGAGGTAAGTCGTCTGGGCCCGGTGATTTGTAACGTTTCAAGAGTTGGAGTTCCTTGCGGACTTCCGCCTCATTTGGTGGATCAGTCGTCACCGGCCATGGAGGGCAGAACAGTCTGACCGATGTTGCCGGAGCAGCAGGCCAGTTGAACTGCCCTTCAAAGAATTCTGCCCATCGTACAAGACGTCGATGGATGTTAGTGATTGGCGTTCCGTCATCCTCGCAGATTGTTTCGCTCACACCAAACTTCTTGCTGCCAGTGGCTCGGATGAGTTGGAAGAGCTTCCGGTAATTACCAGATGCAGCTGCTGCTTCCAGCTCATTAACACGCTCCGACCACCAGGCTTCACGGTCCTTACGCAAGCTTTGCCCGATTTCGTTACGTAACATCCTTCGTCTGTGGTCAAACTCACGGTCACCCGGAGTAGACCGACGGGCTTCAATCAGTTGTAAGGAACCAGAAGAAACCCAGTGCTCGTAAGCGGGACGTTTCGCGAACCCACAACAGACTGTACCCGCCATTTTCATGGCGTCATGCAATTGCAACCAATGCTCATCTATACTTTTCGGTGGAGTGGTAGCTAGCCTAGAAGCTAGCTCGGTTCGGTACATACTAGCAACAGAAGTTGCAGCCAGCTTGCTAACATCAATCATTTGGTGGCGGTCACTTCGTTGTCCACTGAAAAGTAAGGGGAGATTGGCGCAGACCAGAGCATGATCAGATTCCATATAGGTACTCCAAAAGGAGCGGCAGTCTTGTACACAACCACGCCAGCGGTAGCTGATCGCAATGTGATCAATCTGAGTCCAGGCTTGAGATGCAGAAGGGGGACGCCAGGTGGCACATCGGCGATGACTGTGCCGAAAGTTAGTGCTAGCCAGAAACAGGTTGTGGTCTGTGCATAGTTGCAGTAGACGTCCCCCGTTATCTGTCCTGCGACCAACGAGTCCTCATCGGCCACCTAAACGACTCTCTTCTGTGCCTAGACGCCCGACCTGAGCATTCAAGTCTCCGGCTAGTACAACAATATCTGTCGGACGCACTTTCTGAAGAAGAACAGATAACTGGTGGTAGGGTTCATCCTTGGTTGCATCCGGGCTGCAATCTGTCGGGGCATAGGCGGAGATGACGAAAAGACATCGTTTCTCACGCCGATTTCTTCTCACTTTGATGGAACTTTCTAATCTAACAGCACATAACCGACTGTTAATGGGGATCCAGTCGACTAGTGCTGCCTCAGCTCTTGCGCTTAGTGCGACACCAACGCCAGCAAGACCAGACGAAGATGCCACAGGGCCCCCGGATAAACGCATGTAAAACAAGCTTTTTGAGGCGACAGATGGGGAGCGAACTTGTAGTACTTCACCAGAGTCTTGAATACGGGTCTCGGATAGACAACAAACGTCGATATTAGGAATTTCCAAAGACATAGCCAGCCCTATCTGTTGTCCGACCTGCATAAGTGTGCGAACGTTGAAGGCAGCCAGTCTGAATGGTGCATGTGGTTTCAGAAAAACTGCTTCAGTACCCGTATTCGGTGGTAACATACAATTTTCAACCAGGCAGTGACTCGAGTACGTTTAGATAAAGCTGAATTTTCACCATAGGTGAGCTGCTGTCTAGGTCGAAATGGATACATAAAGTAGGAAGAGAGGGTGAATAAATGACGTGGTAGAGTAATAATAATAATAATAGTAATAATAATAATAATAATAATACGAGTTATTTCAATGTTAATCAGATAGAAAGGAATATTTTCCATAAGCAAATTGTTCATCATCATGGTTTTAGTGCGTGGGCTCTCTACAGAGACAAGAATACAAGTTTTTAATCGTTAAGCATAAATGTTGGCAATAACGAAAGATCTGGTTGAGAAGAACAACACAAGATGTAATCATATAGGAACATAGATTTATGACCTTAATCCTTAAAAAACTACCAATATCCTGAGAATCTTGGTAAATGATTGATTCTAAGGTCACTTGCAAACTAATGTTTAGAATGAACTTGATAACAGGATTAGAACGCGATCAGAAACAAAATCAGAATAGCGATATAACACACATTACTGACTCAGAACAGGTAAAACAAATATTGTGATAGTAACTCTTTTTCTGGAAACAATGCAGTAATCACAATGAGGCGAAAACCAAACTCAAGGATACAGCGCTGGATGCCACATATAGTTAGTGAATTAAGTTTATACAAATGTGATTTACCTAAATGGCAAGTATGGATTTATGTGCACAGCTATGAGTCATAACTCATTTGTGTGAGGGCTAGTAAAACCAACTAGTTTCCCAAACTGAAGTAGAGGGTGTTTACTTAAGGTAGGTAGACATAAGTGACAGAAACAAGTGTCCAGGACATTGCTCCACATCGTTAAGAACTTTGTTTTTGCTGACTATAAGCTAATGACTGGCATTTGCTCATATGGATCGTGCAGAAAAACTGTCAATAAGAAAAAGGAAATGTTTGTCGTGACGGGTAAATATTATTATTCCGGAATGACATACAAATTGGCAAGTCTATATAGGAAACTGTTCTGTGTTCTACGTGTTACCTATGAAACACATTGATCTACAACTTTAGTAGAGAAAACGTTAGATAACTGAAATAAACTATTATTGCAATAACCAATACCTAACATCCATAGAAACATGGTTTTCATGTGCAGTATAACAAAAAATTACCGGAGAAAAATAACCGACTTACACATTGACGTCTTGTCGTGGAGAAACATTGATTAGCCAACGTCCTCCGTTTTCATTTTTCGGATCCTCCCATTTCGGCATGATTTCAGATTTGAACATATATAAATCGCTGCCATTAGTTATATCTTTCGGTCTAACTGTATGAGTGAGTACACTCCAGAAGTGCTCAATAGTGCTGAAAGTTGCTACTTTTTCTATACATGCATCCCAAAGAAGTCCCTTTTTGAACTGGAACAAATAATAACACCACCTAAACAACCATCTAACTAAAATTTAATTTTTTATTACGAGTCTTGAAGTGGATGTAGACTTAATTCCTCCTCCTCCTTTTCCTTTTCTTCCTTTACACGTTGGCTACTCTCAACAGCCGTCATCCAAAACGTGTGTGAGCTTAGCTTCAAAATTCACTTGTACTAACAACTCACGCAATATTCAATAGTGAAATTGAACAGTTTACAGTTTCAGATGAGGCTTCATGAACAGAGGAAATCTTGTCTACTACAATAAGATTGTATAGGTTCAGATTATAATGCTGATTGGTTTGTTCGTTTCATTTTTACTTCTGCTTGTGGTCACTTTTCTCTTAACTTGATTAGATAGGTCTCCAACCAATCCATGGAGAGGCTTCTTCATTAGATCCCGTGACTAAATAATGCTCAAAATTTCTGAACAGTGGTCAGAATTGTTGGAAAGAGACAACAGTTACTCGAATGGAGGTTGAAATTTCAGCGGCTTGGTGAATATTACACTGACTTCAATTTATCAGTTTAAAAAGGATAGGAGGCTGATCATCCTTTGTTAGTTCTTTTGATCCACCCATCTTTCGAACGTATTACCAGATGGAACTCGGACTTCTTATTTAAGAAAAGAGTTTTACTGTTTAATCATTCGATTGGAGAGTCATAAGTCAGCTGAAAACTAATTGGCTCTGGGCTTGTTGATTTTCCTGAAGTTCCCTCGTAAATCCCATGTTGGAAGATAGAAAAAATGATATCATGTCTGATGGAAAACTATCATTAAGCAGTTTAAAAATTATGATCAGGACACTTCTTTTACTTTCATATGACAAGGGAAATAGGTTCAGTTAAGCCAGTCTTTCGTCATACCAAGAATCAACCTACTTGAGGCTCTTTCAGTCTTTTGTAACACTTCTCTACCCTTGTGAAAAAGAGGATTGTCGGTCATATAGATTGCTGAAGTGTAGGATGAACGAACACTATATCTAAGGCAACAAATATTTCAACATTTAAATGGCAAAAGATTAAGTGTTGGCCAAAGGGTTCTAAAACAGCATTTAGCGTCAGCCGCTTGGCCGTGTTTGTGTTTTGAACATTTACCGACGATAACTCCGATATCAGTGTGTGTCTTGAGTACTTACCTACTTCTATCACGCCTCCTGGAGGAGCGTGTGTCGATCATCAGGATCCTTCAACTAACTCTATCCTGGGCAACACTTTTCAGCTCTTTCCATTTGTTTTTCACTCTTTTGATATCTGCTTCCGATTCTCAGTACAATGTGTTCTTCGGCCTTTCTCTTTTCCGTTTCCCTTAAGGATTCCAAGTTGGTGCTTACCTCGTGATGTAGTTTGATGTCCAGTGTCTTTTTTTAATTTCCTCCGCAGCTGGAAGCTGGCCTGTTCTCTCCCACAATAGGCTGTTGCCGGTGATATCCGGTCAACGGACATTGAGTACCTTTGGTAGATAACTGCTTATAAATACTTGTATATTTTCAACGATGGTTGTGTCCAGTAGTAGAGACAATAAAGCAATAGATTTATAATATCCAAAGTATTTTTCCGCTAAGGTTCAGAATTCTCCCCATAAACGTTTTTAATGTGGCTACTACAAGGTAATTTGTTTGAATATTTCAGAACCTAACAACCGTATGAAGACACTCACTACTAACTGTAGCTTACCTATTTCCGATTTTTGAGTATTTTGCCGCGCCTTTGGAGGTTATTAGCCCCAGAAATAAAGAAACGATGAGCCATGTTAACACAGAAGTGGTTATTTAGGATAAAGGGTTATTATATGGGGACATCTCTCGGTTTACAAAAAGAGAGGGTATGATGGCGAATAAAGCTTTTGAACAAGTAACTGCAAACTATTGACACTGACGTTGATTACTGTAGATTCACTGAACAAATAACAGGCTGAGGAAGCCAGAGCAAGCATTTACACCGGGCCATGTTTATGGTACACTCGGCTGCGCACTTCCTAGAACAACATGACAGCCTCAATTTAGTACACTAAGGTAAACCAACCTATGATTCAGTGTACTTCTGCATCTCGTCATTCTTGACTTCTCGCCTCACTGACTTTGGAATCATCACGCAAGAGGAGGTTTGCAAAGTGTGATTTTTCAATTCCGTTCATCTGCCGTGCGCTGTAGTGCTGAGGTGCGACATGGTAAAAAATACCAGAAGGTATACTGCTAGCCTATTGCTTGACTCGAAGTGTGATATACAATATATAAAACACAACGCATCCATATAATTACCGAAACACATGCACTTCCTTGCAGTTTCTAAAACATCATAGTGATAATTAAACGGGAACGTCGCATCTGTTGTACTTGCTAGTGACGTCTCAATACTATATAGAACCCTTAAAAGTTCTCTCCTCATTCAGCAGAAACAAATTTTATCATTTTTTCATTGAAGAGTTTTGAATGAATTTAGGGTCGGTGAAGATATAACATTCTGAGTTAAGCGTTTGAGTCATTCAAGAATCTCCTATTCAGATTAAAACGTTAATGCCTGAGTATTTGTTTGCCATCTTATGTTGTGTAATCCTATCACCGCCTTCAACTAGACGAGTCCATTAAAACTAGTGTGGTCAGCATCCAATGTTGAAAACTTACAGAGCTATTTATTTTGGGGATTTATTTACCGCTGGAGATAACTCCCCCCTAGTGGGGTACTGATGACCCTAGGATGTGGCCAGCTAGATGTTTAAACCCAACGAGTCCGCCTTTGGTCAACATTCTTCTTACAGCTTTCTAGGTTTAGCAGCGTCTGGTCGTTTTTCCTTACTATAAGGGACCATGAAGTACAACATAGTAAAAAAGGAAAAAGTACAATGAAAATTTCGGTTACTCGTAAACTTCATCGTTCTTTTCCAGCCGTCCTGGAAAAAAATTATGTAAGTGCATGTCAAAATACATTCGTACGCGCATAAAAACACAAAACGGGCGAAAAAATGGAAAATAAACTCATGCTCACGTAATAGCGGAAAAAATGACTTTTACAATATGGTTTTCTTGTTTTTTGAAATAAGAATAAAGATATATAGGCATATTAAATTTGGGTTTCTTTCAAATTATATATAATATAAGAGAAAATCGAGACGATATAAAATGTAAACTAGTATCTTACGTGCAAAAGTCGTTCAAATGTTCTTGAAATCTTACTCTTCCAGAACGCGTTGTTTTAAATTTATTTTCTGATACTGCCGAAGTATCATCGTGTGTGTTGGCTGTCGGTTGAGGTATTATAAGTGTAGGAGTCGTGTCGTGCAATTGTACTGAAGAAAAATCGACGTGAATAGGTTTTCCTTCTAAATACGCTGCTTTGAGGCGACCGATGCTGATGCTATCGTTGGTTCCGTTTTTATCGACTATGTAGTATTTAATTAACGTTGAAAAACTTTGAAGGGTCCTTCGTATGCTGCTTCGAGAGGTCGTCGGTGTAAGTCTCAATGAAGTTAGACGTGTGTACTATATCGTAAGTCAGGTTGAACGAAAACACCAGTTGATTGTGGTCGAGTGGAAACAGGTTTAACTGAACGCATTGCGTTTGTAAGCCTGTCCGTGTAGGAGGTTAGATTCATGTTCATTGAAGAAGATGAAGGATCCATGAATTCTCAAGGAAGTCGAAGTGTCGTTCCATAAACGAGTTGGAGCTCAGTGTATCCAATGTCAGCTTTCACTGCTTTGCAAATAACTTATGAGACGAGTGAAAGAGCGTCAGTTCGCTGAGAAATGTTTGCAGCTGATAGAAGAGCTTTTAGTTTTATGGGAAAACGTTCTACTAACCTGTTTGCTCGTATGTGATAGGCGGTCGTTCTGAAGCGAGTGATTCCTAATATCGCGGTCAGACAACGAAAAAGTCCGGATTCGAACTGGGGGGTTGTTAAAGAAAAATCGCGCTGAAGATCAGTGTCTTATTCTTGAAGCTGGGTGAGTTTCAGAAGGTCGATTCCTTGGAAACTGTTCAAGGGACTTATTCGAGACAAGGCGTCTGCGACTACATTGTTTGCTCCAGAAATTTGTCGAATATCTGAAGTAAACTGAGAAATTTAGTCCAGTTGTCGAGACTCACGTGGTGGATACTTGTCTGAAGATGAGCTTAAACAGAAGGTAAGTGGTTTATGGTCAGTGAAAAGGGTAAATTCACGGCCTTCGATAGTGTTGGAAATGCCGTACAGCACAATACATAGCTAGGCGTTCTCTGCCGAATTTGCTGTGCCTCAATTCCGTGTTGAGGAATCGTCTAGGGAAAAATGCCAAAGGTTGCCAGGAGCGGTTAATCCTTTGTTGTAAGACTACTCCGATTACTGAGTTGGGTGCACCTACTACGATACTAATGGGTGCTTGAATGTCCTGATGAGCAAGCCTTGTTGCTTGAGCGTTTCATAAGGGACGCGCATTTCAGTATGGACCGTCTATAGGAACTTACAAGACCGTTAAACGTGTGTAATTGCTTGATGGTGGTCGTTTCTCGGTAACCCGGAATGGCCGCCACTTTTGTTCCAAGGGGTCGGACGCCTTGCGCATCGATAGTGTGTCCTAGGAAGTCTAAGGAGTCAGTTTTGATTTGGCATTTCTGAATGTTTACAGTAATGCCATGTTTTTGTAGTCGGTTGAAAACAAGGTCCAGATGCTGGAGATGCGATTCTCTGTCCGGACTTGCTATTAAGCAGTCATCAACATACGCATGTACGAAGTTGAGACCTCGAAAAACGTCATCTATGAACCTTTGAAAAGTCTGTGCCGCGTTTCTTAGACAGAAAGGCATCCGCAAAAATTCATAGAGTCCGAAGGGAGTTGTGATAGCGGTTATCGGAATATCATCAGTGGCCATAGGAATTTGGTTATACGCTTTAACCAAGTCGATTTTCGAAAAGACAGTTGTACCTTTCAAGGTAGCTGTCAAATTGTGAATGTGAGGCAACGTGTAACGATCGGGAATGGTTTTTGCATTCAGTCGCCGATAGTCACCAGTTAAACGCCAATCGTTGCTGTCCTTTTTAGGGACCATGTGCAACGGAAATCCCCATGGGCTGTTTGACGGTCGTATGATTCCTAATTATATCATATGGTCAAATTCGTTCTTCGCCAACCTTAACGTTTCGGGGGCTAGTCAGCGTGCTTTAGATAATACAAGTGGTCTTTCAGTCGTGATGTGATGTGTAACGTTGCTGGTTACATACAGCAAGTTCGGTC